AAACATATTTTTGTATTATACTACATTTTTCACTGGTCTTCTGCTTCAACTTTTGCCTTCTGAATGGCAGCCAGCATCACATCATGCTTGTGTCTTTTGCTTCAGCGATTGCCTACTGAATTAAGAATGTTACCATGACCTGTGAAGTCCTACATGATCTTGCTGCCTCTTATCTCACTAACCTCACTTCTTTTTCCTGCTCCTCTTCCTCCAGTTCCCCAGGTGCTGCCTCATCTGTATTCCTTGAACATGCCAAAATCTGTCCCACCCAGATCTTTGCCATTGTTTTGTCCTTTGCCTTCATTAATCTTTCTGCTTTTTTTACATAGCTGAATTATTTTCATCATTCAGGGTTCAGCTTAAATGTCACCTCCTCAGAGAGTTCTTGAATCAGTCTCTTTAGAACACCTCCCACTCCCTGTTCTGGCTCCATCATCTATTCTCTATCATGAGTTTCTTTCGCTGCATTTATTGCAGTCATTCATGGTCTTGTTTTTAATGTACTGATTGGTCATTAGTCTCTTCAACCCCAATGTGAGCTCCAAGAGGGAGCCAATATACCTTGTATTTCTAGTCTTGTTGAATTCAAGAAGAAACAAACAAACAAACAAACAGAAAACGGGTTGGGGGAGAAGGGGACTACTAAAATGAAGCCTCCTAAAATAATACAACATTTAAAATCTTGGCCATATTTTTACTCCTTTCTTACACACACACACAAAACAACTAGCACTGTCCATGAATTACAAGCCTACTGCCTAAATATTCACTTCACTTTCAATATTTTGACTCCTGTCTCTTCATTCTATTAGTCACCAAGGCGTGTTGATTCTTGCATCTAATTATTTCAACATTTCGTCTTACTCCTGTCCTTCCACATCAACTCCAATCATCCCAGTCAATACATCGCTCTTCCCTGGGTCAATGCAATGCCTCCTAACTACTCTCTCAGATAAACTATCAGTATTCACTAATCCTCTTCCTGACAAATGCATCTTGTTACTTTTAAACTTTTACTTCACTTTTTTAAAAAATATTATGTTCTATCTTATTATAGTAGATCCTCAAAAACTGGATTATTTTCAATGCACTCTTTCCATCTAAAGCAGTCAATATTATTTCCCACTACTTCTTTAAATGATTCTTCTTTAAACAATTCCTTTAAGCAAGTCTATTCCAACAGTTACCTTTCTATCCCCAAAATGAATCCAGCTCATTCCTCTTTTTGGATTTTTGCTTAGTTGTGCCACAGACTGGGAGGGTTTTTCCCCTTCCTCAGTCTAAATCAAAACATTTTCTTCAAGGCACAGTTCAAATCCTGCTTCTCCATGTAAGCCTTTCCTCTCAGTTCCAGCCCACGTGTTCTTTCCTTTTTCTCAATTCTCATAGCACTGAAACCCCTGTTCTATGTAACATTTGATTATACAAGACTTATTTTTGTTATTCTTCAGTCAGTTCATATGTGTAAATGTTATCTCCCAAATGAGATTGTAAGCAGGGACTATGTCCTTACTTCCTTTGTACTCCTGGCAATGGCAGAAGTAGCACAAATCCAGCAGGAGCTCCTTACGTTGACTTACTAATTAAAATGATTCTGAGGATGAATTCCCCTCAACTCCAAGCAGCCATTCTAGATAACTGACGATAGCCAAACAAATCACACTGTCTCTTACTCCGGGTCTTTTCCACATGAGCTCCTGATAACCTGCAAGCCTCCCTTTCCACTTTTCTCCACCCTGCAAATTCCTAATTCTTTCCAGTCAACTGGGACAATGCCTACTAAGGAAAAGGAAGCATTCCTTGCCTCTTTCTCACTCACCTACCTACCCAACATCTATGTAAAGTGTTGCACCTACACATTCCCATTAATTGCTCTTAACTTACAACTCCTGGCACACTGTATTATAAATGTTTATTTACCCACATTTCTCCCTGACTGATCTATATACAACTTAAAGTCAAGGAATGTCTCCTTTATCTTTACAGCAATGGAGTGATAGTGTTTTATTATTTGTTAAATTAATAAATGAACAAACACACTGGCAATGAAATCTGTTGAACGGGCTAATAATTTAGCTTCACAGGTATCAATATGGTGTTATATAATTTTCAATAAGTCATAGCTCAGACTGTATAGAATGCTCATTTGTTTTCAGTTTCAAAAATAATTATTATGCACCTAATATGTATCAGGCATTTGGAGATACAGACAAGATCCAAATAATTAAACATCCCTAACTTCACAGAGCTTGCATTTTACCAGGAAAAGCAGGCAAGGGACTACAGCTTTTGCTCTGATGAGTTGGAGACCATAGAAGAGTTCTGAGCAGAAGGTTTCTGCAATAACCCTGGCATGCGATGATGCTGCTTTGGGTCAAAATGGTGGCAACTTGAATGCTGAGCAGTAGGGAAAGCACGAATCTAATGTAAAGGTAAAGCCAACAAGACTGGTATATGTAATGGAAGTGGGAGACGAGAGAAAAGGAATGGACAAGAATGGATTTCAGTCTGCATAACCACGGAAAAGAATTTGTGAAGAATTTGGAAGGATATGACTTTGGAAAGGGTATTCAGATATACGAAGAGACATTCTAAAATTTGGTCTTAAATTTTAATATTTTATTTTGTATAACGTCCCTTGGGCACATTTCCAAGGAATAGTCAGATCATGTTTGCTTCTTAGAACAACTGATAAAATTGAACAGAAAAACCTTGGACAGCTGTGGCCAACTCTCCATGAAGCACTGCCTGTACCAGGCACCTTATAAAAGCCACTAAAATTTCTTTTCCAAAACTCTCCCAACTTCTAATGTCATTTTAAAATGTCTTATGCAATGCAGCTATTGCTAAAGATCATAATTTCTATGACTGCTAAAACACACTTCAAAGCCCATACAATTATTATGGGCAAAAATTAATAATTATACTTTGAATTTTATGGAATAATGAATTTGATTTCAAATGCACACTTAGGAAAGACGTCAGATGTTTTCCCTTGCCCTAGACTATCGTAACCTACTCCAAGGTTACAGGTGTTGACTTGAAGAGTAAAAGACCATTCAGCAAAAAGTCCTCACGTGGGTCACCCAGAATGACTTAATCCACTAAAGACGAAAGCCTGAGATAGAACAGTAGGAGATCTGGACTCTCAGGCAGCTACCTAAACCACCTAAATGATCAGCTACTGTGCTTAATGGCTATAATTTGGGGTAAGGCTGGTAATAGTGGTTTATTTTTTTTCATGTGTTGAAGTGTATGTCTGCAAAACTTACTGTATTTGGGGATTCAAAAAATGAGACTGTTTATAAACATACAGGGCAACAGTAAGTCTGTATAATGACTGAGTCTCCTGCAAAATAATTTAGTGGTGGTCATGATGAGTTATAACTCAGACTTTTGAATTTTCATTGGCAGAAACAAACCATTCTCACTTGGTCTGTAAGCTTTTTTCTTCTAGACTCTAAGTAGTTTACACAATAAATAGTTATTTCCATAGTAGAAATGGCCACGATGTCTAAGCCCCAAACTTAACCTGTTATTATGGTTGGAAATCAAGGTTGCCATTCTTCCAGATTTTCACAGCCACACAACTTTTGACCTAGCTGATGGAAATGAAAGAGTAAACATAGTTTCCTGATCTCTTAAAAAAGGCAAAAAAAATCAACATGCTAAGGTATTTATTTTGTAAGTGATCCAGCGCAAAGAGGCACTACAGTGAGTTCATATAACAATAGAACAGTACAAATACCTGTAAAAAGAAAATTTTAAGGGAGAGTTCATCCATAAATTTTCCATATTCTCCTATTTAGTATTTTGATATAACCTACTGATATGAAAACTTTGTACATATTTTATGAATGGCATAAAAAATAAGATTGAGACTTTCAGGATTTCAATTTATCCCATAATCTGAGATTAGTCCCATTACAAGGGTAAGCGGAAAGAAAAAATTCCCTTTTTTACATATATTTTCTCACACCTGAAATTCCTTTATAACTGTGATGAGTCAATTACCTTTTTTTCTTTCTTTCTAATTTGGAAAAATATTTGTCTTTATTTTTCAAAACACTGAACCAGTAACTGTAATATCATAGATGTGCAGAAGTCTCCAGAAAATATAAAATATGCTTTAAAAGCATCTCTTTCCATGAGCAAGGCAGCTATTACCCTTCCCAATTCTCACAGAATGACAAGCCTGGCTTTCACTATGGGGTCTTGTGTTTAGGTTTCCTGAATACCTTTTGGGCACTGAATGACAAACTAACAGAGAGAGGACATCTACATGTACCCATTCTGCTGCTTTGGAAGATGTCAAACACATGCGTGGGTGAGTTCAAAAAAGAGACCACATTCCATCACGCAACCCTTTCAACATTATAACAAACAATGCAATTAAAAGTTTAGTAAAACATCAGGGGCCTAAACTTTCATACTTTTTATAATCCTCACATTTCAATGTTAAATTTCACATATTTGTGCTACTGGCAAAATATAATGTATGAAAAACAAGCCCTGAAGTCATCATCATAAGTGAGCATATAACAGGCATAATCTGTTAAAATGTACAGTTAAAATTTACAAATTGAAAAAGGTGATATCACATGAGAACATCCATGAAAAGAATGTTAAAATTGTATTCAAATCCTTTTCTACTACACAAAAAATATCAAAAATTCAGGAAGATTAAAAACTACTCATCTAAAGAAATAATCATTTTGAGCTGTTTATTGACATTACTACTATTAGTCAAATGACTGAACTACGCTGCTCCTAAGTTTTACATGTATTTTAAAGTCAACTCAGCATTCTAAAATAACTAGTTCATTTCCATTATTCCTTTGTTTAAAGCGTTAAACCCCCTTTTCAAAATCAATTTACTATCATCTAGTTTTTCTACCTTAAGTAGATCATTTTGACCAACTATATAAAAAATTTCAAACAAATCGATTTCAGCTCACAAACTGTATCAAAATAAAAAACAAAAATAAGTTGTCTCCTACCTATGGTTGTAATAACAGTGCCAGCAAAGAAGAAGGAACTTCCCAAATCCCAGTGACTGATTTGATTGGAGGTGTTTCCTAAAGGTATAATCCCTGCATTTATTGCTGCCACTATTTGCTGCAAGTTTAAAAAGAAATTTATCAGTACACATGAATCATCACATGGAGACATCAAACAGCACACAGTCCACCCCAGAAACTAATTATTTGACAAAGAGAATCAACTCTAAGATTTTGCTTTTCCATTTAAAAATGCATAATATAGCTTAAAACTTTACGCTGAAGAATTTAATAACAGTTAAGTTATAAGAAACTTACATGTGATATCAAGTGAATTGATTGGTATGAAGATTATAATATTGTTCCAATATGCATTCATATTGTCAACATATTTAATGACTTATTTGAATTAATAACTAAATATAACAATGTTCTCTAGTAAGCACCACAGAGTAAAAATAGTAGGTTGCAAACTATAGTTACAATATACAATAGCTTCATCAAAAAGAAAGGATTTTCAAAGTGCTGCTCATTTCAAATGTTAACCATACGCATCCAAGTCTGGGTTGGCTATAACTGTACCAAGCCTATATCAAAAAGAACTAACAAAACAACTTAAGATGAAAGGAAAAGGCAACAGCATTTCACGATCAAGCTTAAGGCAGTCTATGTAGATCTATACTCTTAGAATTTCTACAGATTTTGATAAATTTTATGACAATGAGAATCACCAAAGCTCTGCATGACAATGAGAATCACCAAAGCTCTGCAGATGACAATCTGTCAGCAGTATCACATAGAGATCACTATTGCTGAGAATGTTGAGTAGTACTAAGAGAAAGACAGGAAGATGACATTATAATCCTTCTTCAATCAGCACATTTTGGGAGGTGGAGGTTGGAGGAGGAGAAACACAAAAGATAAGACAATATGTTAGGAGAGAATGTATAGTAGAAGACAGACATTGCAGGAAATGATGGTTCTGTTGGAAAAATAGCTTTGGAGATCTTTACTATTTAATTTTCAGATAATAGAATTGGAAGAAACATCATTTGATAAGGAAATTAAAGGCTAAGCAAAGAAAAGTGGTTGATTTAAGGTTAAACAGTTTGCTGCAAATGGACAATAAGTACACTCTGAAAATGGGGTACTACTCAAGGAAGTTACTGGTACATGAAAAAGAACAGGTAGCCCACAGCTGAAACGTAACATAAAATCTGATTTCAGAACTGACTGTTATGAAATACATCTGATTTGTCTTAATCTATGAATTAAAAAGTTAATTAAATTACATTGCTTTTATTTACTTTAACAGTGATATTTAAAAAAAAAAAAAAGGTGGGGGGGAATACAAAAAGGCGTAAAGAGTATAATAGAAAGTATCCATAATTCCAGAATCCAGAGACAACCACTGTTAATGTATTACTATGTCTATGCCTAGTAGTTTTGTATCCTGTTTTACATAATTGTATTCTCTATTCTTAGTCAACACTATTACATGCAATTTTATGTCATTACCATATTTATTTAATCATTGCCCAATATGTAGACATATACGTTGCTCTAAAATTTGAATTAATATAAAATGCGCTGTTGTGAACATATTTATGCACAAATATTTTTCAACTTCTGAGCATTTCCCCAGGAGAGATTGCTAGGAATAAATTTGCCACAGTAAAGATTATGAATATTTTAAAGCATTTGATGTATAGTAGCAAATAACTATCTTAGAAGGTTGTTTCAATTTACAACTACCCCCCAACAATTTACAAATGCTTAGGAATACCTCTAATATTAATGACATTTATTTTTAATGAAGTGATAAAATATATTTCCATTTACATAACCCTATGAATAATACTGAACATGAATGATTCCTTTATCTAATATTGAATGCACATAAATATATACATATACATACATATGTACCACACACAGTGAAGTTTGAGATAGCTAAGTCTATTCATCTGACTCTGTGTTGTAGCTATAATGTCAGATAAGGCAGCTCTCCCTTCATTATCTTTCTTTTAAATGTTTTTGCAGTTATTACTCTGTTATTACTGTATAAACTTTAGCATTTAAATCTTATAAAAAATTTCATTTTCATAGGTTTAACATATTTCCATTGAAATATGTTAAATATTTCACATATGTTAAATGTTTGAAAATAGAGGAAATCTATAAATTAAAAAGTAAACACTATTATAATACTCAAACTTCATACAAAGGAATATGGTGTGAATCTCTATTTATTGAGCCTCCCATACCATACCGATTATATATTCCATATAGATCTATAAGGTTATTACCAAATATTTCACTTTTTTCTACTTTGAGTTATAATTGGTTATTGCTGTAGTATATATAAATATATATTGCCAGTCCTCTGCACCAGCAATTCTCAAAGTTTTTATCTTAAAATACTTTTCAATTTCAAAAATTAATGAAGATATCAAAGAGCTTCTGTTAGTGTGGGTTATTACTATTCATATTTCCTGCATTTGTTTGAATTTCTGATTTTTAAAATGTTCATGTAAAAATAACAAGAAAGCCCATATATGTTAATTAAGTGATCTATTTTTACAGAATAATTATGTCTTCCAAAACAAAATACATAGTGAGAAGAGAGGCAGTTTTACAATGTTATAAATCTCTTTTAATATCCGGCTTAATAAAAAACAGGTATATTTTAATATGTTTCTCCCTTCAATCTGTTGGAATAGCACATCACATAGCCACTGGCAGACTTCATTGTACACTCAAAAACTGAGACATGGCCAGGCGTAGTGGCTGACACCTGTAATCCCAGCACTTTGGGAGGCCAAGGAAGGTGAATCACCTGAAGTCGGGGGCTCGAGACCAGCCTGACCAACATGGAGAAACCCCATCTCTACTAAAAATACAAAATTAACTGGGCATGGTGGCATATGCCTGTAATCCCAGCTACTCAGGAGACTGAGGTAGGAGAATCCTTTCAACCCAGGAGGCGGAGGTTGCAGTGAGCCGAGATCACACCATTGCACTCCAGCCTGGACAACAACAAGACAAAACTGTGTCTCAAAAAAAAAAAAAAAAAAAAAAAAAAAAAAAAGAAGTGAGACAAATTATTATATATTTTTTATATTTAAAAGACAAAAACATCTTAGTACTACAAAGAAAATATCTTTGGCCAAGTGTGGTGGCTCCTGCCTATAATCCTAGCACTCTGGGAGACTGAGGCAGGTGGATTACTTGAGCTTAGGAGATGGAGACCAGCCTGGGCAATACGGTGAAACCCCCTCTCTACAAAAAATACAAAAATTAGCTGGGCCTGGTGGCATAATCCCAGCTACTAGGGAGGAAGAGGTGGGAGGATCGCTTGAACCTGGGAGGTCAAGGAGGCAATGAGCTGTGATCATACCATAGCTCTCCAGCTTGGGTGACACAGGAAAACCCTGTGTCAAAAATAAATGAATAAGTGAATAAAATAAAATAACTTTGATGTTAACAAACCTCTGAGCGGCTCTTGAGGACCCCATTTTGAAAACTACTATTCTGTACTGAACTCGTTATTTTTGTTTGTCTGATTTCATTTTTTACCTGGAAAACCAAAGTAAGCAAACTTATCACTTAAAAATATATAATTTTATCCCACATCTTTTAATAGCTATGTATTATTGATTTTAATGTCTTATTGAATTAAATAGTTTTTCCAGAGCTAAGTTAAATAAGTATAATGACAGCAGATTCTTTATTTTTGTCATATAAAATCATTAATGGTTTAAGTGTTTAATCACTAAATATATTGGCTGTTGTCAAGAAAATGGCATTTAAATAAAATATGACAGCAAGCAAATAAAAAGACATAAAACATTAAGAAAGTAAAAAATAACTTTGAAAAATATTTTAAGAGCAATAAGCATATAGGAGATGGAGCAGAGGTAATAAGTGAAGAAACATAAAATGGTTCCATTTTATCATAAATCAAATAAAGTTCTTGGTTCATAAACTCTAATCTAGTGAATTCATAGGCTATGTAGCTTAAATATATATATATCAAGGCTTCATAAATCTGAAAGAGTTTCTTGTGATAATCATGCTCTTATCTAGTTACTCTGGAGGGAATAGCTTCACGGTTAATAAACATGGAAATGCCACTCTGATTCATGTACACACAAACAATACAGGCACAGGCACAAAGACCTCTAGGATTGTAACTCCCAGGAAGAACTAACTGTTTCCAGTAAAAATCAGAGAAGGAGAATTTAGACAGATTATAATTGCATCAAAAGTATATTTTTAGATTTTATGTACATTTCTTCAACACGTTCATTTATTAAAAAATATTTAGCATTTGTGTATGATACTAGGTGATGGGGAAGCAACAGAAAAGAAAAAAAGTACCTGGTGTTGTAGATGAGAAAAGATAAGGTAGGCCTTCACACTCTGCCCATTAATTAAATTTAATTATTTTACTGACTATAGAAGTTGATTTAATATATCCTCCATAACCAGCACTATTTTAGCTTATTCTTTTTCTCATCAGTGATGAGGTACAACATCACCCAGATAAATGGATAAAGTCCACAAATTATTTAAATTCAAAAGAAGCAAATGCAGACCTATAATCAGAAACAGTAGTATCTGGCAACATGTAGGCTGTAAATAATTATCATAGAGCTGTAATTATTGAAACAGAGGTTTGAGATAGAGCTAAGGATATGTCAAATTACTATGAGAATGAGTCTACCATGAGGTCTTTTCTCTAGAATATTCTTGTAAGTCTATTTTGTATTTTTGTATGAGGTCTCTTGCTCAACATCCACAGGAAATTGGATGCCCTTTCCCACTCACTGAGGTAGAGCTAAGAATCTCTGAAATTTCAACATCAGTTCAGGTCATCAGAGTACTTTTCCAGTGTCTTCATGAGAACTGTTTCTGGGTGTGCCATATTACGTGGCTAAAGTAACATAATCACCTCACTGAATAGATAATACAATTTCACTTTTTCATTAGAAGCAACTTTTCTGTAGAATCAAGTCATGTTGACAACTTGTGAGTAAGTTGAGTGGTTTAGGTTAAGATAAGTGAACGCGGAATCCTATGTATTCCATCTTAACATATGATTACCTGAAATGC